CCTGGCACAGCACACGCACGAAACGAAAGTCACACCAACATACAAGCCGCGCCAATCAGATAGCGGGATCACCTGCAAACGCACGCGCGCGCATGATGCTGGCACCGCCCCTCGCTACAAGGAGCCTCCGGTCCGCGACGAGCGATCGCGAGGCCTCCAAAAGCACCTCGTACTAACTGTTTCTGGACAGTGGTGTTGGTTCGGAACGGGGCCTGGCTCTGGAGGGCGAGCGCGGACACGGAATTCCCTGGCTAGCAGCGGCAGCAGTGAAAGCTGCCGAGCTCGCGCGCGCGCAACAAAAATCGACGGCGCGTGCGGACACGTGGGCATACGCTGGTTCATCTCGCCTCTGCCAGTGCCCAACAAGGGGCTCGACGTGCGCCCGTCCAGGGCCCGCCGCGGGCCACGGCCCTCGACGCCCTCCAAGGGCGCGGTGGGTTCGGTCCCGATTGGTTGGTAAGCATTGATTGCAAGTGGACAGGCTCATGGCCGACGCTACTCGTGCTGCTCGTGCTCAGGGCTCGTCGTTCGACTCCGACGGAGTCGAGGAGCCATCCAGCAAGAGGTCACGCAAAGAGGTGCTCGACGACATCCCGCGCACCATTCAGATCCGCGTCGCGGTGAGCGGCGCGGAGCACACAGTCAGGGCCGCCACGGCCGCCATCCGTCGCGCGAAGCTTGCGATCGAGTTCGCCGACCGCGCCCTCGCCCTGCTGCGAGAGGAGCCTGATCCTGTTGCGAAGAAGGAGTATGATTTTGTCAACGACGTCGAGCACGTCGAGTGGGCCCGCTTCAGGAACGCCGCGAAGACGAAGTATTACGATGCGTCCAAGAACCAGTGGCGAACCAAGTTGATGACTGCCGAGGTCGGCCCCAACTTACAGGACAGGGCGTTGGCAATGACCAGGGTACTGTCTGAGTTCAGGGAGCAGCACCATGCGGAACCGAGTAGTGAGACTGGCGTGGCTATGCGCATACGTAGCTAAGGCATGCATTAGACTGGGCCTGCTGCACTCACGCGCGGGCGCAAATCTGGGCAAGCCAGACGCGCCCTTGTCACTGTGAGTCGGATCCCGTTCTCACGTGCCAAGGCTTGCTCATACCTCGCACATGCTCGGCCGTCGTGGAAATCAATGCGCGCAGCAAGACAACCTCTAGCCAACCCGCGGCCATGCACCTCGCACGAGAGAAAACATCAGCATTCATCATCATCATCATCATCATCATCATCATCATCATCATCATCATCATCATCATCATCATCATCATCATCATCATCATCATCATCATCATCATCATCATCATCATCATCATCATCATCATCATCATCATCATCATCATCATCATCATCATCATCCTCATCATCATCATCCTCATCCTCATCCTCATCCTCATCCTCATCCTCATCCTCATCATCAGCATCGCAATACTATTAACGGAGTACAGTGGGGATCTCGAGCGACGCTACTGTCCACTGCCAGTCTCTGGAGCGAACTGATCAGCAGCAGTTCGCTCCATCGGAGCGAACTGCCCAAGGGCAATTCGATCGATCGCGCCAACTGCTGCGGGTGAACCCGGGCAATCTGCGACAACCTTCCGGGGCCGAAGCCGCGGCAGTCACATGGTTGAAACCATCAAGCAGTCGGCTCCAATGGAGCCCCCACCCCCGGAGCAGCTGGCGCGCGTGAGCGAGCTGCTCCTGGGCAGCGCGCTCCGATGGTGCGAAATGCCCAGGAGAAGCCCGGACTGAGGGGGCGCCCGCCGAGCCCGCCCTCCGAGGGGCTCCAGGTCGTCCTGCGCCTGCGTTCTAGCAAACTCTGTGTCTCTCGGAAGCTCATGACAGCCTCTCTCATCGAGGCGTTAGCCTCAAGCACGTACGGATTGTGCACGTGTCCGAGGCTACCGGGCGCCTCTCTCACCCCCGCGCTGGACCCATAACTCGCAGGGATGAGGCAGGTCATCAGCAGGCAGGAGTCGGGTTTAACATTGACGGGGAGGATGAGGGTGGATGAGAAGCAGGAGGGGGGATGGAGGACGAGGCAGGAGGTGGGAAAGAGAGAGAGAGAGAGAGAGATAGAGAGAGAGAGAGGACGGCGGAGGAGTGAGGTTGGAGAAGAGAAGGTCACGAGAAAGATCAACTCCTCCCCCTCTTGCTCCACTCCTGCACCGACTCCGTCTCTCTTTCTTCTCCCCTTCAGCATCCTCCAACTGCTATATCGCTCCTCCCCTCACTCCGCCTATGCCTCCTCTTCGTGCTCCGCAATATAACCGATTTGGCTCATTATGTTAGGCATTTGCGTTGTCTTCGTGCGCTGGCAACGCTTCTTGTCTTGACAACGTGGCAGAGTCGACCTTCGTTGCCCAGCGCTTGGTCGGGATGCTGCAGGAGCGCCTCGCATTCGCGAACGCCCAGGCCCGCGCGGGCCTCGATCGCAATCTCCTGATGCAAGTGCAGGTTCACGTCCTGAACGCGGCCTTTGCCGCGGCCCCTGGGATCGACCTCGCGGTCACCACCGCCGCGACTGCCGAGGTCTCGAACGGGCCGTGGACTCAGCAGCAGAAGATCTCCATAGCCACCGCGCTGAACGAAGGGCCGACTCCGATATCTCTATATATATATAGAGAGAGAGAGAGAGAGAGAGAGAGAGAGAGAGAGCGAGAGAGAGAGAGAGCGAGAGAGAGAGAGAGAGATCCTAGAACCACGCGCGCACTTCGCGTGCGCTTTGGTTCTAGCAAGCTCCAGCCCTTGACAATCTCACAGTTGCGTGCAAATGCGTTGGCACACATGCAACGTCACGACTTACCCACACATGATTCCAACATAGGGTAAATGAGTATTAAGAACGTGGGCCGCTCAGAGACGATTTCGGACAAGGCGCGCTACGAAGATTCCAACGGCGCCCCAGGGGTGTGTGGCGGAGAACTCCAAAGGGCAATCCAAGAGGAACAGGCGTCATACGAAGGTGGCCCCAAAGTGGCCTCCAGAGAGTCCAGGGAAGTGTCCCCACAAAAGCCGAACAAGTTCCGAAAAGGGTCCCGAGGCGAAGGCCCGACAGTGCCGCAAAAAGTGCGCCAAGAGGGCTCAGAAAGAGCTCCAAGAGTAGCGCCAAAATTGCCCCAAGACGTGCTCCAAGAGGGACCGAAGATGCCCACGGCCCGAGGAGGGCTCCAACAAGATGTTCTGCAACAAGGGGGGGGGGCTTCCCCCGCCTTCGCCGGCCACGGGTGGGGGGGGGGGCTCGCCGTCGTCGCGGTCGCCGGCGCCGGCGCCGTCGCCGACGCGGCCACCGTGGTCGCTGTCGTCGTCGTCGTCGTCGTCGTCGTCGTCGTCGTCGTCGTCGTCCTCGTCGTCGTCGTCGTCGTCATCGTCGTCGTTGTCGTCGTCGTCCTTATCGTCGCACTTATCGTCAACGTCATCGTCGGGTGGTGCTGGAGAGCGCCGAAATCAGTCACATACCGAAAGAAGCCTGTTGAGTGTTCTCTTCGTATGCCACTCCGAGAGCCCGTCGTGCCCTCCTGCCACCGTGCATGGGCTATGTGGCAGCAGCCGTTTTGAAGCCTCCGGGAGGCCGTTTGGGAGTCTCTTTTGGGCTTCTTCGGAGCCTCTTTTGGCTCTCTTGGGGCATCTGAGGGCCTCTTGGGGGCCTCTTGGAGCCTCCTGGGGGCCTCTTGGTGCGGAAGGCTCGACTTGTCGGTTCGCGTTCCCCCTCTTCGGCTCCTCGTGAGGCCGTCCTGAGGCCCTCTTGGGCAGTCTTAGGCGCCTCTTGGGCCGTTTGGGGACCCTCTTGGGCTGTCTTGGGGGCCTCTTGGGTGCCTCTTGGGCCCTCTTGGGGCGATGTTGGAGGCTTCTTGGGCAATCTTGGTGTGTCGGAAGCCCGAAATCGCGAGAACGCGAAAAACATTGAAAAACAAAATGAAAATCAATGATTTTGGTTCCTTGATGGGGCCTCTTGGGGGCCTCTTGGGCCACCATGGGGTCATCTTGGGCGGCTTGATGCGCTAATGGGCCGTCTTGGCGGCCTCTGGGCGTCCTCCGCGGGCGCCGAGGAGGGCCCTCGAGGCACAGGGAACGCCCTGGAGCGTTCAAAAAGGCCCGCTGGCGCCAGGGACGAAAGTGGGTTGCAGGGGGGGGGGGGGAAATTTTGAAGAAGTGTGCTGCCCCCCGGCCGGGGGAGCTGGACGCCGCTTACATCATGTATATATGTATATATATATATACATATAATTATGTATACAAATTCAGAACATGATGTGTACACAACATATGTACATTGCACTCTCCAGGCTGTTGTTAAATATATGCCCTCACGTATACCACCCCGCCGGACGGCCCATTCTTGCCCCCACGTCCACCGAATCCACCCCCTCAAGGGATCCCCTCTTACGCATTGCGAAGGAAAGTCTGTACCCCCACTTATTGAACAAACTGGAATCTATACACATCGATATGCAATATTATTCTGGCCGTCGCCGTGCTAATCCAGGGTTGCGAATGCGGCTCTCTAGGGCCGCCGCAGGGCTGCCTGAGGCCATCAACAATGGATCGAGGCCATCAACAATGGATCCCTTCGGGCCGTCGTGCCCCCATTTTGCACGGTCTTGTGCTTCCGGGAAGCGTCCTGAGGCTCACCTGAGGCCCTCTTGGGCCGTCCTGGGACACTATTGGACCGTCTTCGGCCCGCCCGGGGGGCCCACTTGGCTTTTCTCACAGCCGTTTTGGAGCTATCCTGGGCCGTCTTAAAACCCTCTTGTCTCCCTCTGGGTCCCTGATCGGCTCCAAGACGGACAAATTGGTACCGTGTCGAGCCGAAAGACGCCGCAACGCCCAGGACAGATCCCAAGGCATGCGGACCGGGCACTCACATCAAGTCACACACCTGGGGGAAACAACCACAGCTCCTGGGGGGCACTCCCTTCGACTAGTGCGACATCACTTCCACCACAGTCTTTGGCGGAAGAAGACGACGACGTGACGCCAAGAGACGAGCAGAACGGCTGGCCTCTGCGAGCTCCTCCCTCTGCGCGCCCGTGAGGACGGAGCTGCCGTCCAGCCGCAGGCCTCTACAGAGCTGGCCGTCACACCCCGAGACGAAGGCTCTCCCTCTTGGCCTCCCCCCAGCTGCCCTCCTCTATCCCCTCCCCTTGGCATCGCGTCGTCTTGCTTGGCATTGCTAGGCATTGCTAGGCGATGCTTGGCATTGCTGGGCCTTTCTTCGCGTGGCCGGGTATCGTTTGGTGCATAGCATGATTTGGCGTTGCTTAGCAGTGCGGGGTGTTGATTGCTTTGCATTGGTTTGCTTGGCGTTGATGGCATTGCTTGGCGTTGCTTGGCATTTCGTGGTGTTGCTTGGCATTGTTTGGTATTGCTCGGCATTGCTGGGCGTTGCTTGTCATTGCTCGGCCTTGCTCGGAAGCAAGATCAAACGAACCGAGGAAGTCAGGAAGCAAGACCAAGCAACCCGAAGAAGGCCTCTCCAAAAACATTAACCAATCAATCCGATGAAGGCCACTCCAAAAACAGTAAGGAAACAACATCATGCAATCCGAAGAAGGCCTCTGCAATCAGCCTTGCGAAGGACCCAACCATACTCAATTGTGAATACCAGCTTCGGTGAGGGCCACGAAACGTGTGAGGGGTGTGCCGCAACGGGCGGGTGGACGCATGTGATTCCTGCCACTGCCGCCTTCGATGAGGCTCCCCTCACGGCCAGGAAATATGTGAGGGGCGTGCAAAAATTGGCGGGGGACGCATGTGATTCCTGCCACTGTGGCCTTCGGTGGAGCTCACTATGGGGCCACGAAGCGTGTGAGGGGTGTGCTAGAATTGGCCTGGGATGCATGTGGCTCCTGCCACTGCGGCCTGCGGAGGAGCTCCTGTTGAACCAAAAAGCGTGTCAAGGGTGTGCGAAAATGAATGGGGGACGCACCTGATTCCTGCCACTGCGGCCTTCGACACGGCTGACCTTGGGGCCACGGAACGCGTGAAGGGTGTGCCACAATGGGCGAGGGGAACCGTGCGATTCCAGCCACTGCGACCTTCGGTGGAGCTCCCTGTGGGGCCACGCAACGTGTGAGGTGTGTGCCAAAATGGGCGGTGGGACGCATGTGATTCCTGCCACTGCGGCCTTTGGTGGAGGCCCTCATGGGACCACGAAACGTGTGAGGGGTGTGCCAAAATGGGCAGGGGGCACAGCAGGAAGCGCGCACGCAAGCACACTGCATTGAGTTGAACAGGCTCTCTGCAAATGATACTATTTTTCTTCCACTTGCACTTAGAGTTTAGCGCAAAGCGAGCCACGTCAAGCATCTCCAAAGCCCCCAAGCCTTTCATTGACTCCGCCAAAGATGTTGACCGTAATCCGTAGCCGACCAGGCGGGCGAGAAAAGGCCCATCCTTGCTCCGGTGCGACGCTGTTGCCACCAGTCCTTGATCCAGTGATGGCATTTCGGGTGCGACAGCTGTCATCGCTGCGGCCAGATCCCTTGCAGCCAACCCTTCGGGTGCCACTCGAAGTAACCAGGACACGCAATCGCAAGCAATTACGGGAGCCATGCATTCATGAGCATTGCCGCCCGTGGGGGATGACACTGCGCACCGCGCTGACATTTGTATGGCACGTAGGAAGCGATTTTCCAAGGCGGCATTCTCTAGCGCTGCTTCCCGCAGAGTGGGCTGGGCAACAACAAAGCCAGACGCATCCGTCGCGATCCGTCGTGCCTGATAGTCTACTGACAAAACTGCCTCTATCACTTGCTGAGGACTTGCTTGTGGAAACCGTCCTGTCGCAACAGCCTCTAATCGAGCGTCGCCAAGAAGTGCAGGCCACAACAGCGCGAGCGCACTCAGTCTAGGACTGCACCTCAAGCTGCCATCCAAAGATCTTTGCAGGTGCTTCTCGTGTGCCTCAGCACCCGCGGATGCCCAAGATGGAGGCCGCAAATGGTGGCGGCAAGTAGCAATATTGTGCAACGGATTCAACTCAATGTTCATTCCCAGACCGGACCTGCTTTGCCACAGCCTGGCGATATGAAGTCTCGTAGGCTCTTCAGCAGCCAGGCTTCTCTGCACAACTATCTCCTCGGACAGCGTCACGCTGTGGCGGGGCTGCCAGTCGTTCCAGAATTTGGCAAAGTCCTCCAGTGAGCGCCAAGGTCGAGTACAATCTCCGCCGAGCAGCAGATGCTGGAGGGTCCGGGCCATTGAACTCGTGGTTGGCTTTAGCTCGTACAGCTCGCCACCGGGAGCCTTGCTCACATACTCGAGGGGCTGCTTTTCTCTGCTGGTGATGCTGGGATTCGCTAGGCTCCCCCCTGGCAGATTTTGGCACAAATGGAACCACTCCCGAGACGCTTGTACTTGAGAGTCCTCTCCAATGGCACCATTGCCCAATCTGACATTCGAGGATTCAAAGTAAGCAATCAGGGCATGGTCCGTCGTGCCTGGTAGGAGAGAAATGTCGAAAAAGCGTTTGTGACGCTGGTAGATTAGCATCTCCAAAAGCTCTCTCACGCAAACCTCCACGCAATCTGGCACTTCGTGACCGTCTGCAAAAGGAAATCTCTCCACCTTAACTGGAGCACGAAACGCACGAACCGTGCTCAAACTTGCAGCCACAAGCTCCAAGTCTTCTGCCCAAGATGAATCACAAGTGCCTTCATCTAAGAGTCTGAGCGCTGCAGCCTCTATGTCCGCCTCATTGGTGACTTCTGCCTCCGTGAAATGTGAATCTAGCCAGGCATTTTGCCATCCTGAGTCGCCTACGAACTCGGGTCTGAGTACTGGTGTAGAAGCTCTTGAATGTAATTCCAGTAAGAATCGTAAGCAATCTTCCTTTGATCTGCTCTTATCCCAAACGAACTGCGTCAGAAGGGCAGTACCTCTGCGGTAGTTGTTGTTGTGCAACACGTCACTCACGGAACCCACGACTCGAGAATACCGTCCCAAACTCGGAGGTGGATTGCTATACCGCTGCGATTTGTCAGCACGGCTCGGCCTTGTTGCAACTCGGTGGTCCTTTAGTACTGACTTCACTTCATCTGGCCCTGCCTTTGATATTGCAAGTCCCACCAATGAGCCCCAAACGCCTGGGTCAAGGTAACAACCAGGTTTTGACAATGCCGTCGTGGCTCGTAGCTTCCCCCCAACGGGCAAAAACAATTCGCGTGCCAACAACGACTCAGAAACATGGTGGGGGTGATCACTTAAATTCTTCGTCAAGGAGCCACTACTTGCCAAAACACCCATGGCTGGAGACAAGGGCAAACAATCTGGCTGCATCACCCGGAACATGCCAGGTATCCGTGCGGCTAGCATGGCGGCTGCGAGCGCGAAACATCAATGGAGCCACTACGTCTTGAGCAAACTGGCTGCGGACCTAGACACGAAATTACTAAGGTGTGCCACGTTCAGAAGGACGTGCTTTCTCCAGCCCTCTGCACGCGGACGGAGGCACACCAAAGGCCGACACGATTCCCCAAAACATCGACGAGGTCAACCTGGCCCATGGAGAACAGCCTTTTCGCTGCCCAGATATGCGGGCACTGATCCTCTCTGTTTCGCGACCGCCCCTCAAAACTCCTCACGGCTTCCCTCCAGCTCGGCCTCGCAGGCGACCGCTCGTCGCTGAGGCCCCAGCGCCCTGCCAGAGACCAGAAACAAGCGGCGACCGCTCCTTCAGAACTTTGGCCTCTGGGGGCGCGTCGCGTGCCTTGAGGGGCCCACCAGAAAAGCGGCACCAGGGACGGAGTGGAGAAGCCTGGGGGGCAACGTCGTGAAAAACGCACATGGCCAGGGCGTTTTGCGTTTTCAAATGGGCGTATTGGAAATCATTAGTTTGCACTTCCAAGTCTCAGCAAAAGAACCAATTACGCTAAAACAGCGAATATTCGGAGGCGGCCGCGGACGGGGGCGGAGGCTTACAGGCCTGATCCGCACTGAGAGATCAGCGTCAGGGCGTTAAGTATGTTTGCTGTTGTTGGTGTTGCTGCTGCTACTGTTGTTGTTGTTATTGTTGTTGTTGTTGTTGGTTTTGTTGTTGCTGTTGTTGAACTCTCCTTCTTGAAGAATAGTTATTGTTGGTCCCCCCACCGGCGCACATTGATTTTTCAATTGAAGTGCCCCCCCGGGGATCGCGCCTTGTCTTTTGTCAAAAAAAGTCTTCCTGCTCAAACTGGTTCCCTGGCCCACAGGTTACAACAACAACGGCTCCCGCCTGAGACTTCCTCACAATTTAACCAAGAACCCCGCTCCCGCCCGAGACTTCTTCGCATGTGATTCAAGAATCGCGCTCTCGCTTGGGACTTCCTTACGGTTTACTCAGGAATCGCTCCTCCTGCGCTCTGGAATCGCGCTCTCGCTGGAGACTTGCTTGCAATTTACTGAAATAGCGCCCTTGCCTGGGAATTTCTTGTAATTTACACCAGCGCCGCGCCCCCGACACCCAGGCACCCAGGAGTAGCGCTCACGCTTAGGACTCCTTCGCAGATGACCCAGGAATCGGGATCACGCTGCCCTTCGTGGCCCCGTTGCAGCCCTTCGTGGCCCCGCTGTCGCCCTTCGTGGCACCCTCGCTGCCCTTCGTGTTTCTTTTGCTGCCCTCAGTGGCCCCGTCCTTGCCTTCCGCGGCACAACATACGTATGCCCTTCGTGGCCCCCGCTCGTTCGCGCCCGTGGTGGCTCCATGTGCGTGCCCTTCGTGTCTCCGCTGTCGACGTTTGTGGCCCCCTCATTGTCCTACGTGGCCCAGGTGCTACCTTCAGTGGCCCCATCGTTGCCTTTTGTGGCCCCGCATTATCTGCCCTTCATGGCCCACGCTCGTTCGCGCTCTTCGTGGCCCCATACGCATTCCCTTCGTGTCCCCGCTGTCGCCCTTCGTGGCCTACTTCGTGTCCTTCGTGGCTCTGCTGTCGTTTTCTCTCGGTCTCGCTTTCGCTCGTCGTCGTCGTCGCCGTCGCCGTCGCCGTCGCCGCCGTCGTCGCCGTCGACGTCGTCGTCGTCGTCGTCGTCGTCGTCGTCGTCGTCGTCGTCGTGGTCGGTCCCCTGTCCGTCCCTCTTGGGGT